TTAGAGTAGACGATTGGCTGGGACTGAAGCTGGCATACATATAGAGAATATTTCACTGTAAACAATGCATTGTTATGCAAATTATTTATTCACGCCGACATCATCTATTGATAATTACATCAAACTGAATGCATAGACTACAGGCTGTGAAAAGACAGGCCTGAAAACAAAAGTTATACTAACATGGCCACTAGATGGCACTCTTCACAAGTGACACCAATGGGAAATGGCATCAGTAAGAAATCTAAATTATTAAAAAGATACAAAATCAATATGTACTGATGGAAATTATGCTTTTTAACTGAATATTAACAGTGACTTCATTGAATAAGATGTTAATTGTTAATTCAAACCCTTCATAGCCTTTCGCTCTGTACAGGAAATAATAATGTAATTGTAGGCTAACCAGTGGATGACTAAAACTTGAAGCCAATTATCAATAAGTAAAAAACACACTAGCTAGAAAATCTCAAGTCAGTCTAAGCAGACAAGATTTTATTTTAAATTTTCTGATCTTGAAATGTCTTGTCAATTCCATCATGAGCAATCTTACATCATATCCTTGTTTTTCTTATTTACAGTCAACACAATATTTCTCACTCAGGAATGCTCTTTGTCAAATAAATTATTCAACTATTTGAAAAGTTCTTGGACACTGTACCAAACACTACTATACAAGCAGACTTAAAGCTGACACAGAGCAGGCCTGGAGCTAGCCCAGGGCTTGCTAATTAATTGTTGGGCATTCATGTATTATGATCAGTTATACAACACAACACCATTATCAGCAATATTCTTTATCAAATAAATTTTAAGCTATAGATGCCTCCATTTATATTATAAAAGTACAAACATTTCATATGTGTTATCAGTATGTATTAGTATAAGGGCTTATTTTGTTGATGTTGAACATTTTTTTTTTTAAATTATGGATTTTGTACTTTTGGGTCTCAAATTTGCTTTGGGGTAACATTGCATGTACCAGGGTAACACAAAAATGTTGATTTCGTTGTCATGGAAACACCAATGTTAACTAATTAAATGCATGCGATGGGGATAATAACCTATTGCCATGCATATCAAATGAATAATTAGCAGAATAGAGGGACGTGCCTGCCAGGCCAATCCAATCATCAAGCCTCATCTGAATGTGAATGAGACTAATTCAAAACAAAAATATTTCATTTGTACTAGTAATAAAGATGAATGTAGTCTTAAAAAAAAAAGAAATGTCATAGTGTGTATGGTGTTAGTGGAGCATACTGTGTTTTATTCTTTTCAGTAAAATTTGTGTTCGTGTGTAAAAGTCAAAATGATGTGATTTCATATATTCAGACGTTAATGAAAAAAACATGCATGAAATTTGCTGGGTAATCCAACCCTACATTCTCAATACTTTCTTAAAAAAAATAAAATAACTCATATTTGATTTGCAAATAATATTAGGTCTCTGATATTTTCTCCTCTATAATACTACTTTCCCCTTCACCACATTGAACTGGATCATCTGGAGTTTGTTCCTGTTTTCGTCTCAACGCTTTCAGGAATTTTCTCCGCTTCTCAGCTTTCTTTTTGTTAGCATTCTCCATTTTTTTACTACAGGAGTTGATTTCATCCAACTGTTCCTTCGTCACATTCTTGCTAGCTTTCAATAACGTTAAATAAACACCACCTGGTTGTCGTCGTCTCTTACCATCCTGAATAAGTATCAAAAAAGTAAAAATAAATACCACTGATAAATTATAAACAAAAAACTGCATCCTCATGTCGTAAATTTTGATTGCAAACAGTCAAGAAATGGACATGGCTCTAATCAGCATTTGCTGCCATTTTGAACCCAATCTTAAAAAACATTATGGTACAAACAAAAAGGGACATTACCAAGTAGTTGTCATGTGTAATCAAGATCTAGGTCCGGAATGGCAGAAATGCTTGATTTAGATGAATTTTAACTATAAAATGGGCACAGTTCACCCAAATTGAATCGAATAATGTGACACTATGTATCTATAAAGTTTGAACATGATTGCTTAAGGCATGTCAGAGATGTAGCCCTGGAACAGCTTTCATTCAAACAAAATGGCCACCAGTTGGCCATTTTAAATCTGATCTGAAAAACAAAATGGCATTAATCAAGTCTCTGTAATTACAAATGTATATACAGAGTACAAAATCTATCCATAAGAGACAAAGATCTGGTTCCAATTCGGGCAGAAATGCTTGATTTCAATGAATTTTTAACATTAAAGTGGACGTTATTCATGCATCAGAGATCAGATATATGATGCAATGTAATCAGCCAAGGCATGTCCAAGATGCAGGTCCAGATGCATAAATGAATGGATGGAAAAACTGACGTACACATGGAGGTCAATTCTTAAGTCCTTGTTTTTGATGCAGATGAGTGGATATACATGTAGGTAAACGTATCATATTGGTAACTGCACTTGACTATATTGTTATCAAAAATTATACAGTAGTAAATCACAAAATTGAAATGATGTATGGACAATGTTCTAATGTATGAATGAAATCTGTTAACATCTGAGGTTTCAGAATGGCAGGCTCAATTTAGTAATAAAATGACTAACATTCAGTAATCCTAAAACATGCTGCAAAACAAATGCATGTGCATATGTGTGAGATAATGGGCACCTAAATTTTGAACTTCATTCTAGGCATGTGAGATATACATGTACTACAGGTGCTGACATCTGCACACATGGATGGATGGTATTATTTATCCTATTTAGGCTGTCAACCTAGAGTGAGAATTTTACAAAAAATGGAATTTTATGAGGAGACGAAAGCATAAATTAACCTGATACAAAGTGTGCTTGTGACATGATTTGGTGAACACTACATATACCTGTGTCATTAATCCACCAGCTTGTTCTACATCTTCAGTTTCGTGTAACAGCTGCAAGGCAGTTTTATTGCCAACGATTTCAGTAATTCTGCGTATTAAGTCGCCTTTCTGCTCTCGTAGTCTCTCAATAATTGCTTTAGCAACAGTTTCCGGATCATCGTCTTCGTTAACCCTAATGGGAATGCTATATGGATTTTTTCTTTCACCAAGTCGGTCTCTGACATTGGGCTTTCTCCCTAGCCTCTCTCTGATGTGTGAACTACGACCTAGCCTGTCTTTAGCACTTCTTTTGCGTTTTCCACGATGTCTATCACCTCGATGTACGTGTTCCCTGTCTCGTTCTTCGTTATAATTGTCTCTGTCATCGTAATGTCCACCACGTGATCCATGTCTCTCATGCTCTCTATGTTTTTTGTAGTTGTAAGTTTCAACCTCCCTGTCTGTTAGAGACACGGAAGGATCCATATTAAAATTATCAATTTGGAACTCAACACCTTGCTGTTCTTGCCCTTGTATCACTTTGGCCCAAATATTGTTTCTTTTTTTTGATGATTTTCCTACACATTGTGTTGTAGATTCTTCAGTACCTAGCCCATTCTGTCCATTAGTTTTATCTACGTTGTCATTATTGTTAACAGCAGTCACTGAAACAGCATCATGTTTTCGTCGTTTCCATGACAATCCATCATCGTCATCTGAACTGCTCTCAGATTCACTATCCTCACTATACTCAAATGACTTTGACTCTCTATATATTTCCATGTCAAAAGTGATTTAATTTAGTGAGCCAAACCTACAAATACACAATAAAGAAAACAATTGCTTGAACGATAATTCTTATTTTAAGTGAAGTACATTAGATGCTGCAATTTGAAGTATAACACGCACATCCCATGTTACAACACTATTTAGATAAATGAAGCCCTATTTGGATTGTATTATTTCTGTAAAGCAAAAAAACGGAACCAAGGCCAGCTTAGAAAAATAACAGGATTTTTACATAGCAGCTAGAGAAATATTTTTTTTTGTCTTGAGTAATCGTGAAATGCACCATCGAAGTAAAACTACAGGCCTTTGCTTGCATATAGTTTTACTAGATTCCAGAGACTGCTATACAGCAACCCTGCATCTATAAAATCTCAGACAACTAATAAACAGATTGGAAACGCGGGTACAAATGTATTTCTTTTGATCTAACATGTGTCTCGTGTTTACTTTTGCGATAACGTTTTAATCTTATAAACAACTGGGGGAGATAAGAAAATGTCCATGAAGTCACGCGAAAACGCACAACCTATTGCGAGATACTGCGGTGTTTCAACAGGAAGTGATGCAAAAGTCAGACTGAAGTGTCATATTTTCCTTACGTTAGTGATTCTCGTGGACCCACAGACATTCATAAAACAGGTTCGGGTAACAATAAAACAGAAAGTATAAAATTCAGTTGCAGGTCAAACTAAATAGCAGTGGAAATAAATCAGGTGGAAGTAAGTAATAAGCGTTCCCTCTCATGATAGGCATATTTCATAACATAAGACCAGCTTTGTTGTAAATATTGTGATGTGAACTATCCTAGAAAAATCTAGTCACTATTGGGAAAAAATTGCCGTGTTCTGGTAAAAGTCTTTCTTTTTTCTTAATTATGCATTCAAGAAAATTACTACGAAGATAGTTTATGCATTAAAATAATTGTCACTTTTCTAAAACATGGTCAATTTTGGCTAAAAATATATTATTCGGCAACTCAAAGTACAACTCTCTCGTTTCCGGCTGATCTGATCTGAACCGAATACAGATATGACTAAAATACACTCAAGACCGATGATTTCTGATGTGTGCACTCGCCATTCGGCAAAATTCGACAAAGCGCGGGCCTCCAGCGACGCACGTTCACTGGGGATAAGGCCGATTGACACCTCTAAACAATAGCGTTGCCAGTCTGACAAAATTAACGTAGCTAACGTAATGATGATTAAATTATTAATACCATGCGAGACAGTGATTTAAATAGTAAACTGTTTAAAGCAGGTAATTTTTCTGTTATGTACATTGTGTTCAATTTCTCACGAAGGTAATCAAAGCCGATACAATCATCTTTTAAAGGATGCTCTGCACCAAAAGCAATTTTATTTTTAACACCTACTTTCCGTCAATTACTGAGATAGAAAGGGTGATGGCAGCCTTACTCAAGGTATTAACAGGGGTGTTGAGTAGCGACCGTATGTACTTCTTGGCCGGTCCCCTTTGATATACCTCTATAAAACTCGCTACAATGAGTTGAATTCATCATTCTGATTCCTATTTCTAGACTGAGCAGCATGTCTGCAATGTTTACAGCAAACATAATCATGATCGATTCTTATTCGAATACTGCTTGACACATGTGCTGATACAACATACAATTTGTAAATATGTTTCTAACCTTTCAATTAACTTGTGTTTTTATTAATCGTGATCGTGATCTGTTTTAATAAAGAAGACACTATTAATAAACCCATGAGTGTATATGTGGTTTTTATGTTTTCAATGCACGACCCCCTCTTTCACGATAAGTCACGTTTTTTGCATGAAATAATTTTTATAAACCAAAATGACTAAATATAATTCAAATTGATCAATCGAGAAAAGATATGGCAATATCATCGTAAGTTCTCATTAATATTATTCAGCTAGTTCAACATCATCCAATCAGCATGCCCTTCATTTTGGTGGCTGTCACAGTTTATATGTCACTTAAGGTTTGTGGCCATTATGGGCATAACAATGTAGAGCTCTTGTGCCAATCATCAAATATTTAAATTTGAATGAAAGCTGATGATCAGTATTTACAAATTGTTTTACATGTACATATATTTATAAACTAAATTACTACTTTCTGTAAAACCTTATTGTCATTAGAATATAATTAGCTAATGATATCGATAATTCTTTTTATATCTGCTGGGGGTTGGGTAGTGATTTCATACGCATATGAATTGATGGGCAGGGAGACTAACGAGAGAAATCGCACTATTATATTTGGTTAACTAGGACAATTATATTTTGAAAACGTAGCTTAGTCATATCCATGGTTTCGCTTCGGTTTGGGTCCAAATATGTCCCAGGCTTGGTTGGCGCTGATGAATCTATTCAAAGCCAAAATTACCTAAACCTGGTAGCTTACGAAGATTTCTAGATGATCCGGCCCTGGTTTGTTGCGGCCCTGGTAAAAAAAAGACGTTCCGGCCCTGGCTTGGACGTTCCAGCCCCAAAACAGTTTGGTCGATCCGGCCCTGGTGTAAATTATATTCGATACATGTTCATATCTAATGTTAATATATTAAATGCACAACGAATGCTTGACTATCTTGTTTAACAACTATTTTTCGTCTTTTGCTGGGCATTTTCACGATTTCACACCGTGTTTGACAGATGTATGTTCATTTATTCGCCGCCTATGCACGTGAACGGCAGACATTAGATTACGCATCGAATACAATCTGTTTTAGTCAGGGTTCGAATACACATTCGTGGTTTGTCGCGTAATGAACGTCAATATATTAAATGTGTGACTATCTTATCCACAATTTTTTTTTCATCTTTTGTAGGACTTATCAGAGTTCAAGGAAAGATTGCAGCTAATTTTAACACTTACGTTTTAGCACAATGCAAGGGTCGTACACACCTTCCGGTCGGGCGGTACGTCAAAGTACACACAATCATTGTAATGGAAATGAGGAGTGTAGCAAACATGCTCCAGAGACAATGTGTCAAAGTACCCGCGAATATTTAAAGTGTAGGGAACCAATTTTCTAATCAACATGATTAGTTTTCTGCAAACGTAATGTAGCATTAAATCTGCTGATTTCAATATATTTCATTTGAAACATTTGCTAGACATCATATAGAAAATCACTCCGGCACTAGGTCCCACATTACCAGTACATGCGGTGTAGTGTGGTACATGTATCATCAGGCGCCACCTGACTCATTGTTGCCTAGTTTGAGTTTTTTTTATAATCAGTGGGAGTGATATAATGCGACCGTGACATGGGACGATTTATTTATTATCAGTGGGACTGATATAATGCGATGTACCGTAACATGGGACGATTTATTAATTATCAGTGGGACTGATATAGCGATTTCGACGTAAAGAGGCTGTTATAAAATATCAGTGGGACTAATATGAGACGATGCGATACAGATTATCAGTGGGACTGATATAGCGATTTTAACGTAACGTGGCAATATAAAATTTTCAGAGAGCGAGCAATATAGAATTCAGAGCAGTTAACTGATAGCTAGACTGAATCAGAATGACTGAACTGTGCTTTGCTCCCTAGTCTTATACACTGAGTGTGTGAACGACATTTCATTGTTCATGATATTGACCACGCACTTACTTCTAGTCAAGTTGTTAACACCTTCTTTTAGCCGTGAATTTTTTTCTTTCAACAATGATTTGCCGCCAACCGACAGGTCATTGTTTGTAATTTAGCGTATAATCACGATTACTTTTAGTACAAAAAGTCGACTATTTAACATGGCGACAAAGTGAGGCATCTTGCTACATTGTTACATTTCGACTTCTGCTCTTAATTTATTCACGCAATTCCCCATGGAAACACATGCAAACGAACCACACAAACGCGAACCCTATGCGGAACTAAAATGTATCGCTCAACAACCAGAAGCACAACGTACAAAAAAACAGTTTATTTGTTTATTTACTGAAAGACCAATAAAACCATTTTGTCTGCCTTCTACATTCTTTTCCTCTGTTGATTAACGTTCTTAATTCATTACGTGACAAACCACAAATGTGTATTCGAACCCTGACTAAAACGGATTGTATTATATATGTATCCAAGTTATCTGTCTGCGGGCCACACATGTTCACGTGCACAGTGTTAATCACTCAGGCCATATGGTGCTTAGTACAAAGGTGGCGGCGAGTAAATGAAATAAACATCTGTTGCATTGTGTAAAATATGGTGTGAAATTGTGAAAATGCCCTGCAAAAGACGAAAAATAATTGTTAAACAAGATAGTCAAGCATTCGTTATGCATTTAATATATTAACATTAGATATGAACACCTATCGAATATAATTTATACCAGGGCCGGATTGACCAAACTGTTTTGGGGCCGGAACGTCCAAACCAGGGCCGGAACGTCTTTTTTTTACCAGGGCCGCAACAAACCAGGGCCGGATCGTCCTGATACCCCTACGAAGCCCTACCAGAATCTATTCGAAGCCAAAATGACGTGCAACCCACATTTGCCTGCATACTTATTTTTTGACATTTTTTACAGCAATTGCTTTTAAACAATTCTATTTATAATTTTTATTTTTTTTTACTGTACAATATAGAGGGCTTTATTTTCAAATACGCGGATAATTTGGAATACTGACTTGTAACGTTTGATTTGAATATTTTTCTGAAACATCATGCAATTCAGTGCTCAATTTTACCCAATAAGTTTACTCTTACCTGATATTTAACACTTATCAACAGAGTGGAAACGTCCGGCAAACGTCAATGCTATGTTTTACGGTTTACCCGGGAAAGGAAATAAAAAGCATCTTGACATTTGACTCATCACCTTTGACCACACGTTTTTTTCCTGGCAGTGCATGCTGGGACAATTATCATCCAAAATGGACGCATATATGTTTAGTCGCTCTCGTATTCTAGTGGCGTTTTAGCTGTTTTCGTGTCTGTTTCGGGCACAATGAACCGCCATCAAGTGCTAACGGGTGCGGTCAATGCAGGCGATAGCTGTTTTGCCATCGGACATGTAGATGGTATACCATTCACGGTAATTTTTCTTTTTTATTTGCTTGATTATATCTGGCCGGTGAAATCTTATGATGACTGAGAGTGGGCGTTCAAACATTCATGAATTCATTCATAATTTCGCTTCTATTGATTATCGGCTATGAGTGTGTGCTTTAAATCCAAGGAACGTCTAATTTATGTCTTGTGTTATGTATGAATATGGTTTGTGAAGTGTCAACATCTCTTATTCAGGTTTGTATGAGATTTTAGATAGGAGTACCGAGTGGGATATTCAGGAAGTGAGAATGAATGAATCGCGATAGTCCACTCATGTGACTGAAACTTTCATCAGTGACGTGTTCTAAAGAAAATTTTCTCGTATAAATATATATTTTAGTATAATAGTTTATTCTTATTTATAGTATATATCTTGATTTAGTGGACATTAGTTTAGATTAAATTTATTCATTGATAATCAACATCCATTTACGATATTAATATTAATATAACAATTGTACGTGGTTGAATGAATCATTGGTTTATCCAATTCGTTATTGTCCATCTTTAAAGTAACTATGATTCCAACATTTGTAGTGTTTTGTGTAAAGGCGAGGAACATGCT